TTGATTGAATGATTGTTCAAATTAGACGGACTCGCTGAATAGGGTTTGTGGAGCGACCAGACATTCCTTTGTTACGTAATTTCTCGGGATTGCTGAAGCCGTTTGGAACCAGACTAGATTTGAGAGCAGCACAATTGAAAGATCTAGCTCCATTACTAATTAAGCCAGAGGTGGTGAGCTGGCCTTATGTGTGTGTACCTTTGGTAGGTAGGTAGAAAGGTGAAGAACAGCCAGGCTCGAACTGGACACCAACGCGGTATGGGTCACGACACCTCAGATCCAGCCCCCACGCGCCAAAGTATAAAATGAACTCGGGGGACCCCCCCCCCCCCCCCCCGACGCGGGCGGCACAAACGGGGCACGACCTCGGGAACTAGCCGGGGCAGTCGGAGAAGGGGCAACTCCGTGCACTGACGGTCGGCCGCCAGAAAACACGCCTGCGTGGATCGCGTCACACCAATCCTCGCTACCCAACGCGGCCAAAGTATATCCACCTCGAGAACCTCGAATCGAACCAAACACGCCCACCGGCCAAATGCCCGGGGGGCACCACTCGCCAGCGGACCCGACGCGGCTGCCGGACCAGCTGTGCGCAGAGTACGCGCCGTACACCGGCGGCGGCGGCGGCGGCGGCGGCTCGGGCCTCGTGCCAGCGTACTGGGTGGAGCGGTACGAGCGCGAGGCGGGCAAGAACTGGGAACTCTTCTACCGGCGCAACCGCGATCGCTTCTTCAAGGACCGGCACTACCTGCAGGCCGAGTGGGCGGACGAGCTCGCGCCCGACGGCGGATCCGGTGACGCGGCGGCGGCCGCAGGGGTGGCGGCAGAGGCGGCGGCAGATGCGGCAGAGGCTGCGGCAGAGGCGGCAGAGGCGGAGGAGGTGACTGCGTGCCGCGCGCAGCTGTCGCAGGCGAGCCTCGGCGGCGGCAGCGGCGTGCGCGTCCTCCTGGAGGCGGGCTGCGGCGTCGGCAACACGCTCTTCCCGCTGCTCCGCGCGATGCCGGCGCTTCTGGCCGCGCTGGCCGCACTCGCCTCAAGTTGAGTGGGACGCAGTCACGCCTACTCCAATGCACCCAGGTGCTGACCGTATACGCGCTCGACCTGTCCGCCACCGCTGTCGGCATCGTACGCTCCCACCCGCTGGCAGAGGCCGGTCGGGTCGTCGCTGCGGTCGGAGACCTGACCGAGGGCAGCTTGCCGCCCGAGCTGTCTGGCTGCGCTGCGGATGTGGCGACGCTCATGTTTGTGCTCTCCGCCATCGCGCCCTCAAAGTTCGGTGCGGCCCTGCGCGCGGTGCGGTCTGGGCTGCGGCCGGGAGGGGCCGTGCTCCTGCGGGACTACGGGGCTGGCGACGGCGCGTGCGCGCGGATGGAGGCGGGCCGCGAGGCCAAGCGGCTCGACGCCTCAGCGCCGTGGCTGGTGCGGCAGGACGGCACCCGCGCGTACTTCTTCTCGGTGGAAGCACTGCGTGAGCTGTTTGAGCGAGAAGGCTTTGAGACGCTAGAGTGCGCCTACGCGCACCGGATCACGGCCAACCGCGCCACCGGCGCGACTCTCTCGCGCACCTTTGTGACGGCGAGGTTTCGGCGGCCCGCCAGCGACGCATTGGACGCGGAATTCAGCGCGCCGTGATCGAAGGTAAGGTGTAAGGTAAGGTATTGGTGCCCGGAGCCCTTGCGCCTTGGAGCACTTGGAGTGCAGTCATTAGCCTCATGTATGTATGTATGTAGTAAGGTGAAGAACAGTCAGGCTCGGACTGGACACCAACGCGGTATGGGTGGACGCTAGACAGATGATGACGACACGCACGAGCGACACACAGACACAAACAGGCTCACAAGACACACAGCCAGCGGGCTGCCACACATCCTGAGTGGGCGTACACATCACTCAGGCCACGTCCCCCCTGTCGCCCCCCCCAGCACTCCAAGGTGCCAAGAGACAAACAACAGCACAACAACACAGACAGGCGACAGGGGCGAACGTGTGAGACTAGAGCAGGCTTGCTCCGCCTCTAGCAATCTCGTCGCCGGCCGCAAGGCACGGACGAGACCGTATGTGGGGTCTTGTGAGGTGTCTATGGACGCTCTCCTCTCGGGCTACCCGCCAGCGGCTAGCCCTAACTCGCACTCATCTGGGTGACGGACAATTCATTGGATGAGCATCAGCGAGCAGAGGTGCGTGTGCTGAATCTAGATCGCACGCCGTGGCATATGACTTGGGTAGGCGTGCGACCGCAGCGCGCCCGCCGAAGGCTCGACCGGGCGCGCGTCACATCCAGGGGCTCTCAAAAAAGAATTTTTCTCTCCGTCTCTCGGCGCAAAAAGAATTATAGCACCGCGCTCACGCTCGATCAGGCGAAGGCCCTTAGAAGCCGTCGCCCTCGCCAGAAAGGAAGTCGTCCTCAGGCAGATGATCGAATCCGCCACCCTCCGACGTCGATAGCGGTGCATGGTTGCGATGCTGAACAAAACCATCGACACTGCGCGATTGCGCACGTTCGTGCTGCTCTGTGCCGTGATCGCCATCGACAAAGCGGACCAAATTCTGTTGCCGGCCGTGTACCTCGAGGTGTGCAACGAGTTTGGCGCCGGACCGGCAGCGCTGGGTATGGCGACCTTTTGGCGTGGCATCGTGCAATCGATAGTTGCGCTCGCCGTTGGCCCGCTGGGCGGTCGCTACGACCGCGTGAAGCTCATCGCCATGGGCTGCGTGTTCTGGTCCGTCGCCTCTCTCTTCGTCGGCTCGGCCGCGTCCATGCACACGCTCGTGATTTCGCGGGCCTTGAACGGAGTCGGCATCGGCCTGGTCATCCCGCTGGTCTATGCCCTCGTCGCCGACCTCTGCCCCGCAAACCTGTCCGGACGCGCCTTTGGCGTCCTGAACTTTGCCAACAACGGCGGCGCCGCGCTCGGCGGCTTCCTCGCCACGCAGCTCGCCGACACCGACGGCGCCGTCGCCGGCTGGCGCCTCGTCTTCTACAGCGTGGCGGTCGTCTCTTGCGCGACGGCCGCCGTGCTGCTCTGCTTCGGCCGCGACGTGCGGCCCGCGCTGACATGCGCGACCAGCCCTAGTGCGCGACCGCCATATCCCGCCGCGGATACCGCGAAACAAACCGTCCACACCAGGGATGCGACCGGCGGCGGCCGCCTCGCGCGGCCGCCGCCCCTCTCGGCCAGGGCGGCGCTCGCCGAGGCGTGGCACGTCGCGACGGTGCCCACCTTCCTCATCGTCATACTGCAGGGCGCCGTGGGGTCGGCGCCGTGGTACTCGATGTCCTTTTTGACGCTGTACTTTGAGCTCAGGGGCCTGTCGCACGCGGCCGCGGGCGCGACGCGCTCGCTGCTCGACACGGGCGCCATGTTCGGCAACCTGCTCGGCGGCGCCCTCAACGACCTCGCCGCGCGCCTCGCGCCGACGCATGGCCGCGTGCTCGTCGGGCAGCTCTCCGTCTTCTCGGGGCTGCCCATCTTCCTGCTGCTCTTCTACGGCAGCGCGCCGCGCGCCGCCGCGCCGCTCATGCTGCTCGCGGGCCTGCTAGTCTCCTGGTGCGGCGGCGTGAACAACTCGATGATGGCCGAGGTCGTCGACCCCGCCCTGCGCACCACCATCTACGGCCTCGACCGCGCGCTCGAGGGGGTCGTCGCGCCCGTCGGCGGCCTCGCCGCGGGCTGGATCGCCGAGGAGTTCTTCGGCTTCGCGCAGAGCGACGGCGGCGCGTGCGGCGGCGGCAGCGGCGGGGGCGGCGGCGGTGGCAATGCCAGCAGCAGCAGCAGCAGCAGCAGCAGCCTCCACGACGGCGGCGCCGAGGACGCCGGCAACGCGAAGGCCTTGGGCGACGCGCTCGCCGTGACGATGCTCGTGCCGTGGGGGTTCTGCTTCCTCGCGTACAGCCTGCTCCACTGCACCTACGGGCGCGACAAGCGGAAGACGGAAGCGGCGCTCGCGGCGGCGCAGGCAGCGGCCGACGGCGGCGGCGGCGGCACGCTGAGCGACTCGAAAGCGAGCGACCGCAGCGCGCCTGCCGGCAGCGCTGCAGGAGGTGCTCCGGCCGGCGGCATCGAGCTGCGGGGACTGCGCGCGCACGACGCCGCGCGTCGGTCGTGGAGCGAGGTCGATGTACCTGCTAGGGAGCGACGTACAGTAGGTGTCGTCGTGTGAGGGTGAGAGTGGTGAGCCACGTGCCGTCCTCCCATCCCTCCCTTGATTGTCTGTTTTCTTTGTTTCGTAAGATTCTTTCTTTCTGCATGGGGAAGGCACAACACCGGGAAAACAACTACAGTCCGAGGCACGGAACTGACGCGCACTGATCTTCGCCCACTGAGGTTGTCCGGCAGCGCGACCGTGACGAGGAAGTTCCGTTGGGAAGAGCAGCGAGCGCAGCGTCAGCGAGTCGTGAGATCTAAAAATCATGCACTCACCGCCTCCGGTCACACACGCGAGTGGCGAGCCGACCGAGCCATGTCTCGCCCTTCGGCGACTCATGCGTGGGCGTCGCGTTGTACGCCCGCGCTTTGAGGGCAGGCTGCGCGTGGTGCGTTCGGTGCCCGTACCCCTCCTCACACGCACACGCCATGCCGCACCGCGCGCCCGCCCACCGCCCCGCCCGGGAAAGAGACGAGGAGATGGGACAGCGAAGGAGGAGTACGAGCACGTATGGGAGGGTTCAGTAATGCGCCACGCTGCCCGGCGTCTCTCACTTTCCGGGACAGCCCCGCCCTTTTGAGGCGGGAGAGTGACGGCTACCCCGTACGCGCCTGTTGCTCTACCCCGACGCCGACCGCCCATTCTCCCCTCCTCGTTCCCCCCTCGAATGCTCCGGACCCCGACAAGCCGCCCGACGTTGGGCCTCTGCCCCGCACGCTCCCGCCCCTCTGCCCCTCACACACACCCATGCCCGACATGCACATACAAGATTTTTTTATTTGTCCTTCCAGCCGGCTTAGGCGTGGTACCTGTGTTAGTGCCGGTGCGCGCCAGTCCCGTGTCCAGGTCCCGTTATGCGCATCCTCGGCATCACCGGCACGCTCGGCGCGGGCAAGGGAGCGGTCGTCGACTACCTCGTGCGAGAGTGCGGCTTCCGTCACCTCTCCATTCGTGCTCTGCTCGCCTCCATCATCGCCGAGCGAGGCCTGCCTCTCGACCGGCCGTCGATGGTGCGCGTGGCGAATCAGCTGCGAAAAGAACACTCGTCCTCGCACCTTGTCGATCGGCTGCTCGAGCAGGCGCGCGCGGCGGACGGGCCCTGCGTCATCGAGTCGATCCGCACCACCGCCGAGGTGGGCGCGCTGCGCGAGGCGGGCGCTTCGCTGCTCGCCGTCGACGCGCCTCAGGCGCTACGGTATTCTCGCATCGAGGCGCGCGGCAGCGAGACCGATCGCGTCTCCTTCGAGCAGTTTGCGGCCGCAGAGGCGCTCGAGTGGGACTCGGCGGGCGACCCGGCGAGGCAGAGCTTGGGCGAGTGCATCCGGGAGGCGGACATCACCCTCGTCAACGATGGCACTTTGGAGGCGCTGCGTGCAAAGCTGCGCGAGGCGCTCGCGGAGCTGCTGTCTGGGCCGCGCGCCGGGGGCGGCGGCGCCGGCGACGACGAGGACTGGACGACGGTGGTCTTGCCGGAGCAAGCGCTCTGGGATGGCATCGCGGCCTATCTCCGTCACCGGCGCCTCCCGGTCCTCACCTTTGAGAGGCTCGGCGACCCGCGCACGATGGCCGACATTCGCCGCCGCTTTACGCCGCGGCCGAGTGACGTCCACATCGTGACGTATCCAAAGGCGGGCACGTCGTGGGTGCAGGAGGTGGCGTGGCTTGTCAACCACGATGGCGACATCGAGTGTGCGGGCCGCGTGCCGAGCTCTCAGCGCACAGTCTACATCGAGCTCAGCACTCCGGCGGTGGACAAACTGGCCGTGCTTGCGGCGTCGGCCGGGCCTCGGCACATCAAGTGGCACCACTCCGCGCCGCTGCTGCCGCCGCGGGTGGTGGAGGAGGGCCGAGTCATCTACCTGTATCGCAACCCGCGCGACACTGCAGTCAGCTGGTACCACTTTCAGCGGATGAACACGCTGTACGGCTTCACGGGCACGTTTGCGCAGTTTCTGGACCTCTTCTTGCGGGGCGACGTGGCGTACGGCGACTACATGCAGAGCGTCCTCTCGTGGTGGGCGCTGCGAGGCCGCGCGAACGTGCTTGTCCTCTCGTACGAAGAGCTGAGCCGCAACCTGCCCGCGGCCGTTCGGAGGATCGCCTCCTTCCTGGGCAAGGCGCCGACCGACGGCCAGGTCGCCGCGATAGCGGCTCACTGCAGCTTTGAGCGGATGGCGGCCAACCCGATGACGAATGCGTCCTCGATGCCCAAGGTTGCCGGCGAGGGCGAGTTTATGCGCCGGGGGCAGGTGGGCGACTGGCGCCGCTACTTCACGCCAGAGCAGGTGCGCCGCATGGACGAGTGGATCGCCCAGCGCGCCGGGAGCGAGGCGGCGCCGCCGTTTGAGTACGAGGCCTGACCTTATCGCTCCAGTCCGCACCTGTGTTGAGCACTTGAGCACTGTTTTTTTTGAGTTTTACACGTTCGTTGTTAGCAGATCAAGGCACACAGAGCTCACACAAATCACAGCGGGAGGAAAGCGGCGAGTCGCAATTCCAGGGGTCGTTTGTGGCGGGCCACCCCTGTAGTCTCACTCTCAGTACTCAGTCTCAGAGAGGCATGGCCCCATGGCATGAGTGCCAATCTGGAGTGGGTCTATGACTGGATAGGGTCGATTCCGCATGTGGTAAGGGACCCCTCGATCGTCTCGCCTCGTGTGTGTGTGTGTGTGTGTGTGTGTGTGTGTGTGTGTGTGTGTGTGTGTGTGTGTGTGTGTGTGTGTGTGTGTGTGTGTGTGTGTGTGTGTGTGAGTGTGTGTGTGCTGTGTGTGTGTGTGTGTGCGTGTGTGTGCACACTACTCACTCACACTCACTCACCTCTCGCCTCGCAGTCACTTGGAGAACTTGGAGTGCGGTCACAACACGTTTTGCAGGAGCTGGTTGGACATGATATTTTTCTTTTTTCGCGTTTTTTTACGAAAGTACGTCTTACGCTGGTCCCGCCCCCCGGCGGCCTTGTTAGTTGCCTGTCCTGTCCTGCGGAGCTCAAGCAGCCCTGTCCCGCGGCGGCGCTGTACATACACGATGACGCTCGCCGACGAAATCGAGCGCAGCGGCGCGTTCCGCGATGTGATCCGCGCGTCCAACCGGCAAGAGTCGGAAATCGCCAGGCTGCGGGATGCTTTTGCGGCCAAATCGAACCGAGGTGAGCGCAAGCTCAAGCTCTACCACGGCACGTCGCTGGATGCGGCGCTGCGCATCGAGAGCCAGGGCTTCCAGGCGTCAGCGACAGGCTGCCTCGGCCCCGGCGTCTACTTGGCGCGCGCGGACAAGGCTCTCCGCTTTGCGCAGGAGGGCGGCCGGCACGGCGGCGCGGAGGGCGGCCTCGTCGAGGTCCTCGTGCGCTTCAAGAACCCAAAGTTTGTTGCCGCCGATGACGACACTTGGCAGGCCGAGGGCTACGACGCGTGCCGGGCCGAGGAGACCTCCGCCTCGCAGAATATGGAATGGTGTGTCCTCCACCCCTCCCACACCCGGCCGAACTTCAGAGTGGCGGTGCTCCTCAAATACCGCTCAAACGCCCACGATGTTGTGGAGGGGACATATGCTGATGATCCTGGCCCGATTGGTTCGCTCAGAAAGCTTCTGGGCGGTCGTTAAGGTTCGCTCCCCGCACAACGGCCCGGAAGTATGGTACCCTAGACAGAGTCGACGCTGGGAGTCGCACTCGTCAAGCCATCGCAGCACCACGCGGTCCGCACGTACCGCCCACATCCCCTCCACCGCTGAGAAGGCGCAGATCGACCGCCGGGTCGCGTAGTCGTCGTGAAGGAGCGGTTTTTGGAGCCGTACGAAGAGGTCCCAGACGGGCGAAGATGCGGTAATTCGACGACCACACGCGATGTGGTATCTGGTTTTTGCTAAAAACGGGCCGCCTAGTGCAGCATCACTAGTACAACACGCAACCACACTGAGAGCTCCACACTAGCCGGTATAGGCGAGCCCCGGCGGCCTCACCGTCGCCGCTCGCGGCGGAGCCGACGGCGGAGCCACGGGCGGGTGCGACCTTTTGGGGGGACATGAGCTCGCCAGGACGTCACCGATGGCTCGGCGCGCCTCTTCCCGCCAGCGCGGGGCGGCCTACCTACAAGGGCGAGGGGGGGGAAGACGGAACTGAGCCCTAGGTTCGTGCAAAAGCGCCGGCAAGGGCTGGGAGAGGGGCGGCAAGCGACGGGCGGGTCCGCGACCTTTTGAGCGCCCATGAGCCGGCAGGGAGGCCGGCGATGGCTCGGCCAGCTCCTTCCCGGCGGGCTCTCGTCGGGACGTGCCTGGTCGGCCGGGCTCGGGTGAGGTAGGCGGGCCCGGGAGTCGCATCTGCGCGTCCCCGGCAGTGGCAGCGTGGGGGTAGATGGGAAGTGCGGAGATGGGAGGCAACGCGCCTGTTTGATGGCCGCACGAGGCAAAGTTGGGCGCTCCGAGCGTCTTCCCGGCGAGAACGAGCGGGCTGTGTATCGTCGGGGGGGTGACTGAGAGGGAGGTGGTCGTGCGCTCACTCTGTCGGCCGCGCGCGAGGTGAATACTGGGTGTGTGAGGCGCGCAGGAGGCGAGGGTGGGCGCGCCGGCGGTCGAGCCACCGAAGAATTCGACGTGGCGCAGCTCCGCGCCGGCGGGGACGACCAAGCACATGATGTCGGCGGCGGTCACGCGACGAGGGAGAGCCGCAGGAGCCCTCTGTGGAGCAGGCGCGCGAAAGCAGCGATGAGTGGAGCCGCGATCAGCCACCTGTGGGCGGTCATCGGGGTCGCGGTCAAGCTCGCGACGGGGTGAATCTGGTGCGTCTAGTATCACTGGTGGGCTGGGTGTGCAGCAGCGGCGCTCAAAAAGAGGGAAAAAACTCGACAACTGTTTGGAGTGTCTACATTCTCGAGGCACCGTTCTCGGCCAGGCCGGAAAGCTGGCTGGTGGTCGCGCGCGGCGCGTCAGCGCCACTCCGACTGGTCGGGCACCTCGGCTGGGTCCATCGGCAAGAGGCCAGCGCCGTCGGCCAGCCCCGCGAGCGCATGGGCGGCCGGCGCGAGCGGAGATCGGCGGGCTGAGATCGGCTCGTTTGCCACGAAAAGACGATGCCCCAGGGGGGGGGGTCCGAATAAGTTACATCATAGGGAAGCCGCCACCGACGAGCGCGTTGGACTTTTCACTCCGGACAAAACACGCGGCACAGCGGACGGTGCGGGGCGTGCCGCCGTCTTTGCGGCGAGGCGCGGGACCGTCTGTGGCGAAGTGGGTCGCGTCCTCCGGAGGACGCCGCCGTCGCCTCTGCGTCACTACGTGCCTCCCCATCTTTGTAGCCTGGCGTTTGTGCCCCGTTTGTGCCGCGTCCCGTGCCCCCGAGTTCATTTTATAAATTCCGATTTCCGTACCCATCATCCACACCCTTTAGCCTGACTCAGGCGATTTCCGATTATAGATTATAGCCTGACTCAGAAGTCAGATCTCAGTCGTCGAAAACTCAATGAAAATCCGGAACATGGCATCTGAACTCGATGGAAAGCGCACCGCGTCTACTCTCCCCACCTCCCCTCGCGCGCATGAAGCTGGCACAAACACAATCGTGAGGTCGACCCCTCCCCTTACCTCTCTCACGGACCCGTGTGGATGCTGAATCTCTCGCCACTGTCCATCGGCGAGGCGCGCGCCGTGGCTTCTGACCCCCGCCCACCCACCCACCCCCCACCGCTGAGTGTGTCTGCGGCCCCGGCGCCTCCCCCTCCAAAGTTGCAATGCTCGCCGCGCCGTCGCAAACCCCTCCCCGCCCCCCCACCCCACCCCACCCCACCCCTCCCGCGCTCTTCGTGCCCCTGCTGTCGGCTCTAGCCGCTGCGTGCGATGGCGCGCCACCGCCCCTGGCACTCGGCCGGGCTGCGGCCGTAAAAGTGCGTCGCGACCACCTCCCAGAACCGCTCCTTGCCGCCTGGCCGCGACGAGCAGCGCGCGTGCCACTGCGTCCCGTGCAGCATCTGCAGCAGCTTGCGGAGCCGCGCGTCGGCGGCGGCGGACCACTCGCCTCGCCGGTAAGTGCCCGCCGAGAGGTACCTGCCGCAGCACGGGCGAACCTTCTCGGACCCTTCTCGGACCCTTCTCGGACCCTTCTCGGACCCTTCTCGGACCCTTCTCGGACCCTTCTCGGACCCTTCTCGGACCCTTCTCGGACCCTTCTCGGACCCTACTAGGCGCCTGCCGCAGCACGGCGCGGACTGCAGCCGCTGCCGGAAGGGCTTGCTCGCCTCGGCGTCGTCAGTCCAAGTGGGCAAGTCCTCGACCGCCTAGAAGGGTCCGAGAAAGGTCCGAGAAGGGTCCCTGGCATGCCGGCGCAGCTTGTGGCCTCCCCGGCCGCCTTGCCAAACAACCGCTCGGCAGGCGCCGGCGCGGGCGGCCTCACCCTCTCCTCCCGCCAACCCGTCTCGGCCGGCGCGCCGCGGCCCCAGTACCGCTTGCCCTCCTTGCGGTTGCGGTCGTAGTTGAAGCGGACCTCGAGTAACAATCACACCCACAGTTAACTACGGGCTGGCGACTAGCTGCGGCCGCGCTTGAAGCGAGCCTCGCTGCCCGCCTCGATCGCCTCCGTGGCCACCAGCACCATCGCGTCGAGCGCGCCGCCCATCGCGGGCACGTACTCGAGCGCCGCGTTCGGGCGCGCCTACAGGCAGGTTCCAAGAAGGTTCCAAGAAGGCTCCTTGTTCCTCGTACTCGAGCGCCGCGTTTGGGCGCGCCGAGTGGTTCGCAAACACGCCCGGCCAAAACGGGCCGTCCCCCGGGCTGTTCTCGTACGCGCCGTCAATCACGGTGCCGCTGCCGGGCAGGTCGAGCACAAACGCGCCCCGCGCCGCCAGCTCCCCAGGGAGGCGCGGCCCGGCGTACTCCGCAACCACCTGCCCGCGCACGATGTCGGCGCGCGCAAACAGCCCCAGCCCGACGCCGCACGCCGCCACGAACGCCCAATCCGCCACGCCGTAAGCGGCGGCGGTGAGCGTGGCGGCGATCTCGCGCGCTGCGTCGGCCTCGATGGCGTGCTGGGACAGCCGCGCCGGCGGCGTGGCGTGCTCGGAGAGAGGCAGCTGCAGCGCGCAGCCGCCGCCCGGCGCCTCGGCGCACCACCACTTGCCGACGAGGAACTTGGCGGGGCGGCCGCACAGGCAGAGCGGCGTGGGCGCGCCGCGAGGCGGGGGGGAGCACTCGTACCCGCACCCTTCCCCCGCCTTGGCGCCGCACCACCAGCGGGAGCGATCCCACACGCAGGGCAGGTTGCAGCGGCAGCGGGGCGGCGGCGCCGGCGGCGGCAGCACGGGCGGCGCGGCGGCGAGTGGAGGCGGGAGGTCCGCCTGCGGGGTGTGAAGACACAAACGTCAGGGGTGTGAATACACACGCGTCAGGGGTGTGAAGACACACGCGTCAGGGGTGTGAAGACACAAACGTCAGGGGTGTGAAGACACACGCGTCAGGGGTGTGAAGACACACGCGTCAGGGGTGTGAAGACACACGCGTCAGGGGTGTGAAGACACACGCGTCAGGGGTGGGACGACGGCCTCGTGCCGTGTGCTCGGGGGGGGCGGCGCGGGAAGGGCACGGGCTACGAACGCGGGCACATGCGGCTGACTATTGTTGAAGTGTCCTCTCGAGCGCTGGGGTTGGAAGACAAGAGTGCGTCTTCCGCTCCTCGGGCGTGTCGCCTGGAAAGCGTCGCCGAGAGGAACCTGAGGCAAGGTAAGGTAAGGTAAGGTGGGGTAAGGGAAGGGAAAGTAAACTTCTCCACACACACGAGGTGGTGGGGCAAGGGCCAGGCTAGTCCCTCGCGACTCCACGTCTAGACAGACAGGAGCACCACACGGCATTGAAAGAGGAAGGCCCGGTGCGCGTGGGCGAGCGGTGTGTGCGTGTCTGTGTGTGTGTGTGCGGAAGCGCACCTCGCCCTGGTCCTCCTCCTCGCTGCCGGACTCCTCCTCAGAGGAGGACCGCGCTGCCACCCCCGGCGACGCGCCGCGGGGGGTAGGAGCGATCGCGTGCCTCGGCCGCTTGCGCGGTGTCCCAAGGCTGCTGTCGCCGTCGCAGCCGCCATCGCCTCCGCCTCCGCCTCCGCCTCCGCCTCCGCCTCCGCCTCCGCCTCCGCCTCCGCCGCCGAGCCACGCGCGCAGCGCCTCCACCAGCGACGCCGCCTCATAGTCCGGGCGCACAGCCTGCGAAAACAGAACGCCGAAGAGTTTCGGCAACGGGGCGCGCATCGAGGGGAATCTTGGGGAGTCTCGAGGAGATGAGGGGAATCTAGGGGGGGGGGGGGGGGCATTTGGGGCGCGCCACCGAGCAATGCGACAAACGGCGGCTGCTTCCGGAGTAGAGCCACCGCCGCATGGACGCCTGTCGGGCGGAACACATGCGTGTCTCAGGACCAGCCCCCCTCCCCCACCGACGAGCCACCGCCGCAGCGACGCCTCGCACGGCCACCCCGCAACGCGCGCGACATGCGCGACGCTGAGGGACTCGGAGCGCATCCGCTGCCGCACCTGAGGAGAAGGAAGTGCCTCGCCTCTGCAGGCCGAGGACGTGTCTAGGAAGTGTCTGGGAAATGTTGTCCTATCTAGGAAATGCTGGGTGTCGCTGCGAATCCG